TCTCTGCATGTAACCCCTCTGACTAGGGTTGCTTGAGTAGTAGCATTCCAACAGAGCCATGTTATCGCATCTCACCCATCTCCGCTTTGTTCCAGTAGCCCATTTTTCATCAAGGTGCTCTGGTTCCCCAGCACCTGACGCAGACCTTGTTTGGCCGGGCGACGTCTGAGCCGGCATGTCATTCATTTTATTGTCTATCATCATTGTATGAGGTAGGCATAGCGTGAAGGATCTTGCCCAAGGACCCACACTGGATGGTGTTATGTATCATCATTGTATGAGGTAGGCATAGCGTGAAGGATCTTGCCCAAGGATCCACACTGGATGGTGTTATGTGCTCATTTTTGCCCCAGGCGGGATTCGAACCACCGTCTCCCGTATGCCAAACCGATGCCTTACCAACTGAGCTATCCAGCTGCTATATATATATATATACACATAAAATTTATAATAGTATTGTATTCCTTTTAGTGTAGCGCCATCTAGTGGATGCATAGCGCAACCACTATTATAGCTTCTATTCTATGCATCTTATAATACGGTGCGCCCTATATATGAAAACAGTTTTAAAATAGGCCATTCATCAAAGGTGTGCCTTTAGTGCGGAAAATACGGTACCTCACGGTTTTAGAGCAACTTGTGCTGTCATCCAAGCCACCTGCTGTGGGTCCCTACTGTAGTAACTTGAACAATAAACAATTATACTGTCAGAACTATTAATCCATTGATTTTATTTTGTATGTGTAACACAATGAGACATTTATTTGGTTTCACCATCATCAACGTCAGTTTCATCTGCCATTTTTCGCAGTGACTCTTCAATAATCTTAGGCTATGGTGAAATCAAGAACATTATTTTATTTGCATGTAATATATATCCTTGTCTGCCTTTGATGAAAACTGTAATCTTCTATTGTTTTCATGAATGCGTAGAATGAAGCTGAAAGTACTTCACAAGATTACAGTGCCATGCCGCTTCTTGCCGCCCCTCCGCAAGTGGGACAGAAGATAGCATTTAAGGTAAACTCTTTTTTTTCTCTCCATGAATTAAATGGGATTATTTCATTTTCTGCGTGGTGAGTGCTCACCGTGCAGCAATGAAGTTTCATATTTCCATCACTCCCTTTAAAACGCTCTCTTGGAGAAACTGTTTTTAATTTGTATTTGATTTTTTTCATACAAAATAAAACAAATATGCAGTATGGAAAAAAATACATTCGAATAATCCTCCTAGTACTCCTCTACTCCCCAAAAAATGTTGTTCAACTTCTAGCACCAGTGAACTAGTCTTTCATCAAAGGACGATTGGACAGTCCACAATACCTTGGCATTTTCCAGACCCCAATATGCAGCAAAGCTTTTTGCAAGAAGCTTGCGCTTGTTAAAAAAAACTACATCAGAGCAGGTCAGTATTTGCCAAATCTTTATCAAAACATTTTTGTGGACTGATGAGAACGCTGTGCAATAGTTCTCAAACCCAGATTCCAATTAAGTTGGCACATAAATAAAAACAGACCACAGTGATTTGCAAATCCTTTTCAACCTACAGAACATTTAATTAAATACTCTTTAGTTCACTGGTGTCAAACTCAAGGCCCCGGGGTCCAGATCCGGCCCGTCAGGTCATTTTATGTGGCCCGCGAAAGCAAATCATCTGTCAACTTGCCTAAATCCGTACCAAAATGTGAAATTGTCATGTGTAATAAATAACGTTGAGATTTTGCAATCATTTTGTGAACCCGTTTATACTCACTTGAACAATAATTGATCAAACTGTTATAATTGACTTGACTGATTTCAAAACTAGTAATCTATTAATTTGTTGTGTACGAGTAATAATTTTGTGGTTTCGCTGTCATAATGGCCCTCCGGGGGAAGACATAACTCCAAATTGGCCTGTGACTAAAATGAGTTTGACACCCCTGCTTTGGTTAGTCTCCCATTTGTAGAGCCAGAGCTGTGTGCAGACAACAGCCCACAATCTCGAAGCAAACGATCGATCATAAAGATACTCTTATGAATTTTGCAGAGGTCGTTTTGACTTACATTGCTGTATCCAGTTTCGAGTCACATTTTTTTGCACATCCATTTTTGTAGAAAATAATGCATTTGGTCTCTGACTTGAATTTCCTAATTGTCTTGAACCAGTTAAGGAAAAGTAGATAAAACAAATTCCACATATTTGTTTTTCTTCACAGCTGCTGGAGCTCACTGAGAATTATACGCCAGAGGTGTCAGAATACAAGGTGTGCAATTTTGGTACCAATTACCGTATTTTCACGACCATACGGCGCACCGTATTAAAAGGTGTAGTGTCAGTTACGGGTGCTATTTCTGTATTTAATACATACACAAGACACATTGTATTATTGGACGCAGGCATGGTAAAACACACACTAGCTTAAACGATACAGTAGCATGCATGCACGCTAGCACGGGAACAAAATTGAGTCCGGTTGTACTTTATTGAAGTATTTAACAATGTAGTCACGATATTTTTTTGATCAGTCCTCATCGTCAAATCCATCAAAGTTCTAATCTTCTGTATCCAAAATCAACAGCTGGGCAAGTTCACAATCAAACACGCCAGGTTCCCTCGCGTCATTGTCAGAGTCAGTCTCGTTGTCATGCGGCTTCTCAGAAATGATGCCGGCCTTTGCATAAATTCGAATAACAGTGCAAGTAGACACATCATCCCAAGCATCCACAATCCATTCACAAATTGTGGCGTAACTCACCCGGCGCTGCCTCCTGGTCTTAGTAAAGCTGTATTCGCCATCGCTCCCACACCGCTCGCAACTCCACTTTGGTCGTTTCTGTCCATTACCATAGCAACCAAGCACAACAGTAAAAGCCGACTTTACACGCCCCATTGTGCGTATCGCTATCGTGCTGGTCCCCTTTTTCTTGACAGTGTGGTTCACCGGGATGTCAAGAGTGAGTGGCACCTCAGCCATGTTGGTGATGTGGTTTGGCTGAATGTGTTTGTCGGCAATGCTTTTGTTGTACAGTGGTACCTCTACTTATGAACATCTTTTCATATGAAATTTTCAAGTTACGAAACGCCTCAACAGGAAAATATTGCCTCTTGTTACAAAAGAAATTTTGCTCGCAGCTCCGAGTTTCCTGAACGCAACATACTTGTAGCTGCTCTGCCATTTGCGATTGCCGAGCATCATCCTGGCATCCCATTGGCTAAGAGGGACTTTTACCATGTATCTATGTGTTTAGACAGATAGATTGTCTGTGCAGCGTCCTCGTTGGGCCATGAGGCGTTCAGAAAAAAAACAATTCTGAGAGAGAACATGAGCTAAAGAGGGCAAAAAAAAGTCTTTTTTATTCTTTATTCTTTGTTTTTTACATTATGCACAACTCTCATTTATTGCGCAATAATCTAATTGTAACATGTATTTGTTACATATTTTGATGCATTGTTATGCTTTAGGAAACATTTATGTCTGAATTTGGGGTGCTTGGAATGGATTAGGGCATTTACATGGAAAACGCGTCTATCCACAACATTTTCGAGTTAAGAAATTTCTTCCAGAACATATTAATTTCGTAAGTAGAGGTACCACTGTATTTCAAAATGCAAAGTATGCTTGTCCCCCATCACTTGCCCTAGCCCAAGCGGGTATGTAAGAATGTAGGGACTGGTAGAGATTGCAGTCGGTAATGGAAGCCAATTGAGGCCTGCAGAGCAGCAGAATCTGGCCATCTTTTCCTTGTAATCCACCAGATATTGCTGCGCCATGGTCGTCCTTGCCCGGATGGATAGTTGGCCCCGTTTCAAGAAACAAAAGCACCAAGCACCATGGATTAGTTGATCTTGAATTCTCTCATGGCTACTGGATTCCAACATGCTCCTCCGCATAACTGACTGTTTGTAGTTTAAACTGTGCCTCGTAAATGTGTCTTTTTGTCGGTACCATTTTCGGGATGTTGTTTTGCACAATGCACATACCGGCACCTACTCGGGGATTGTCTTTTCACGACCTCTTGCACGTCCACCATTCACACTTTGACGTCCGCATGCTGTCCTCAGTTACATCCACCTTTCCTCTGAATAAGCAATGTGTCGGCACAATGTCAGTCTGTCAAGCGGACCCATCATCAAAGTCGCATTACAGCATTCGCAGATCTTGGAACTCTGTGCATACGCGAGTTGACCCCGCATGTATTTTGGCGCCCCGTCCATTTTGGAAAAAAATGTCACACTTTTATGTATATCTTATGGTCGTGAACATACAGTACAAAAATAAACCAAATCTAAGGTGGTATTTGAGGACCGTGAAGTTCGCATCATTCATTCAATGTTGTTTTGCATTCTAGAAGGGTAAGATTGTGAGCTTTGACCCAACAACAAAACAGATTGAGCGGGAACTGCTTTCTACTGTACAAGGTAAGACCATACAAAAAAAAAAGCAGCATCATGTCATTTTCTGCCTATGTTGTTATATCGTGAATCTGACCAGCAAATAGAAAGACAACCACACTTGTACTGGTTGATCACCCTCAGAGTCAGTTTGCATTCTTTTTGTTGTGTCGTGAAAAAAAAAATCAGGAACATCTATTTCTCTCTCTCTCGCTCTCTCTCTCCTGTTGCGAGAATCTACCATGGATGATGGATACCACAGATAATTTGAACTGAAACTTTCATTTTAAATTCAACTCACTACATGTTCCTTTACTAGCACCATCTGAGCCTGGCAAGTTTGACCTGGTATATCAGAACCCGGACGGATCAGAGACTGTGGAGTATGCTTTATCCAGAGGATCCAGGGTAAGCCGAAACATACTGTAGAATTGTTATTGTTGAATAATTATGTTAAATTATTGAAGTTGAAAATTATAGCTTAAAAAGTATTTAATTTGGATATCTGGGTCTTAAATTTTATGCTCTATGTCAGGGCTCTGCGTCCAAGTTACATGATGTGGCGACTGAGAAAAATGATAAGTTCTTCAAGTACAATCAGCCAAGGTCTCCTCGACTTCACAAAACAAAACAAAACATATTTAAAATAAATATTGAAACAATTTGAGCGTGCACAATGCTAGCTGGGTCCCATTCACATGGATGAGAGCCTTAAGCGAGGCTCCCTCGATCCCTGCCCGACAGTCGCGGCTCCGCCTTGGGGGCGGTGGCTTCGGACGGGCGCCCGAGAGCTCGGAATGCCGGAGTTTGATGACGACCCAGCCGTGACTTTTTCCTTTTTAACTCTACTGTTACTTGCTCTACTGTTTGGGATGTCCTGATCGGATCACGTGATCGGAAATCGGGGTCGATCAAAAGAAGAACCCAATATAAAATTAAGGATTGAGAACCAAGTTTTGGTCTTGGGCTTTACATAATTGTAAGAGTGTTTCCTTTTTTTTTTGTGTGTGTGTGTGTAACATCTGAAGTCGTGATTTTACTTTATGCCCACAGGTAACGGAGCGATGGGAATCTCTTCTGGAACCAAGGCTTATGATTTAAATCTGTGCACAACTGTGTTTTCACTGTATTTGACGCCTTTTACTGTCATTCCATGATAATGTTTCAATGTCAGTCTCTTTGATCTTCAAGGTACACAACAAATCTGCTTTTTGATACATATGATATCATATGGTCTTTAAAATGTGGATTAGATTTCATTTAGTCTTTTTAAACGAGAGTTTTGTGTGAATTTTTTCCACCCCAATAAAATGCTGCAGACTTCTTTTTTTTTGTCGCATATCTGGTCTTTGTAGCAAGATGAATGATCATAATTGAGTTTATGAAAAATGTATGCTCACAGTGAAATAGAAACAAAAGTGAACCTATTAGGATTGGCTTGCAATTACGAATGCAACTCGTGGATGTACACTTGCCATTTGTATTTGGTACATTTTGGACTCCCTTGTCATGGGCTTATCTACGAGTTGTGGAAAGCTTGTGGTTCCCAACTGTTGTCATCATTTTCCTTTTGTTCCAAAGTTGCAACCCACTTTTTATAGAAGTTAAGAACATGTTTTGTTTAAAAACACGTTGTGACAGCACATGCCTAATATATTTTCAAAAGCTGGTTTAAATTAATTTGATGTCCCGCCATAAGCATGTCACTTGCCATGATGTCCATTAGCCAGAGTATAGTCATGGCTATAGCATGAGGCAGCTATACTTCCTGTCACTTACCTAATATGTTCCATGTGGGAATACCTCTGGGCTGTGCCGGAAAAGTCAAACAAAGAATACACGTTAGGTTTTACTAGCTTTCTGTGACCCACCCAATATGAGTATTCAACCAATTTTTGTTACCCAGCCCTTTAGCTAAGTATCACTTTGCTAAAGCATGGTTCCTGTTAAACTAGTCTAAACTCGGATTTCTTTGGGTATGAGTGTGAGCGGGGATGGTTGTTCGTCTCTGTGTGCCCTGCGATTGGCTGGCAACCTGTTCAGCTGGGATGGGCTCCAGCACCCCATCTGGAGCCCATCCCAGGATGAAGCGGGTCAGAAAAGGGATGGATGGATGGGATTTCTTTAGTCTCCGCTAGAATAATTTTGCTAATGGTAATGTCACCATTTATCCATACAGACCAATGCAGGGTCTGCGTCAGTACAGAAACTGCACCAATCCTACTCCATTGTCCCCTCACTCATGAACAAGACCCCATGATACCCATACTTGAACTCTTCGACTTGGGGTAGGGTTTTATCCTCGACCTGGAGAGAGCACTTCACTCTTTCCCAGCAGAGAACCATTTTCTCACAGTTGGATGGGCGGATTCTCATTGCAACTGCTTCACACCAGCCTGCGAACCACTACAGATGAGGCCAACAGAACAACAGCATCTGCAAAACGCACAAATGTAATACTGAAGTCACCGAACCAGACACCCTCAAAGAAATTATGTAGTAAAGGTTAAGCTGTGATCGTGAACTCGAATGGTTGGTGGTATATACGTGCCCTGCGATTGGCTGTCAACCAGTTCAAGGTGTACCCCGTCGACTGCCCGAAGACAGCTGGGATAGGCTGCAGCACATCTGCGACCCTCATGAAGATAACTGCCTCAGATAAGTGATCGATGAGAAAGAGAATGAGAAAGTGAAGGACTACAAATTTACAATAGAAAGGCCTTGGTTCAATTCCATCATGAACTGCACTCAACAATTTATTTAAAGGCTTTTCTGTTTGCATGTGTATGTGGGTTTTCTTTGGGTGCTCAAGTGATGCAGTACACTTCAAATCTTAAAAATTGACATAAAAAAACAATCCAACATTCTGTAATGTTAGAATATTCAACACAGCTCTTAGTTGGTCATATTAGTACTGTAGTATAATGTCAATTTTTGTGGGTGATTATTAACCGTTTTCATGTTTAAAAAAATATCTTGAGATTATTTGAGACTATAATTTCATGCTGGAAATAACACTTTCGAAGATGGTTATGATACGAAAGCTGTATCAGTGGTTTGTCTTTGCAGATGTACAACCATTCACATATGGCCAATGTTTTCAATTAACATGCATATTTTAGGACTGAGAGCGAAAGCTAAAAGAGCATAGTTAGCACCTTGTCCAGGTATGTCATCATCACCCACCCCCCGCCCCCACCCCCAATTTTGCTGCTGTAGACTGCAAATTTCCCCAGTGTGGGACAAATAAAGGTTATCTTATCTTATCTTATATTAAAATGCATTATTGCGTCCATGTTGATTGATTAAATACCTGAGTATGGCCACTGAGTAAGGAATTGCATGTCAATGGAAAACCTGAATGAATTTAAGATCTTAATTAGGTTTATCTTAAATGACAAGCGATTCTTGTATTTTCAAACATTTGTCCATATACTGTATCCATTTTCTTTACCGATTATTCTCAATGAGTTAGGTATACTATACATACTGCAAATTGCAATAACCTAACCAGTAAATTATTCCGGCTCCGACTGGATTCCATGCGATTGTTGATTGTGTGCCACATGAGATTACCGCTTTTGATTTCTCGTTGTTACTATTCATTCGTACACCATCGTCTATTTGCGGAGCATTTCATCCTTCTTCATCAGCAGCGGTTGTTGCAGCCGCATCAGTACCACTTGTTCGACGCCTCTGGCGGGTCGGATGGAGTCGCTGTTTGTGCAATTTAATTAAACGCATGGAGCGACATTTCGTGCGCGACCAGACATTCACATTGCTGTCACTGAGAGGAGGTTTGCGACGCGTGTAAAGACGAAGGCGTTTTTTCATTCAAGTGAATCATTTGGTGGACATTGTAGGCTTTCATCGTGGCCAAGGAGACGAGGTACGATGCTTGCAAACAGTGTATGATTTAAAACGGTAAATGTACGGTGATGTATATTGCCCGCGTTGTATATTTGATTAAAATGTTATCTACAGGCAATTAATGTCACGCTGTGTTTTCAGCAGCCTGTTTTGGCGTCGTGCATTCCAACCGTACGGCGCGTAAAAAATACCAGCCTATTATGACGATTTTTTTTCCGGTTGTTGGTTTGCCATTAAACCAAAATGTGAATTGCCATTCTCCTGAAAAATTGTGTCTTTTTCATGTTGCTGCATCACCCCGTCGACAAATCGATGTTGCTTGTGAGCTGTCATATCACCCACCCATCCGTTTCAACACCGCGTATCCCGAAAAGGGTTGCGGGGAGTTGCTGGAGCCTGTCCCAGTTGACATTGGGGGGGAAGGCAGACTCCACCCTGAACTGGTCGCCAGTCAGTCGCAGGGCATATACAGAGACAAATAACCATTCAAACCCACACCCACACCGCCACTGAATGGGAACCGACCACACGCTACTCACGCTGCCCGCACACACGTCAGGTGAATGTACCACCACACCATTGGCGACGTAGTAAGTTTAATTACTTAGTTTAATTATTTAGTTTAATTATTTACTCTCTCTCTCTCTCTCTCTCTCTCTCTCTCTCTCTCTCTCTCTCTTCCCCCACCCCCTCTTTTTTTAGCTCAGGGTGTCAAAACTAATTTTTGTTTCGGGCCACCTTGGAGTTACGTCAGTTACGACAGTGACATTGAACAAATGTTTACGAAATTATCTAATCGTTTTATACACAACAAATTGATGGATTACTAGTTTTGAAATCACTCACGTCAACTGTTTGTTGGTTGCTCAGTTATTGTTCAAGTGAGTGTGAACAGGGTAACACAATTATTGCAAAATGTCGACGTTATTCATTACATATGACAATTTAACGTTTCGGTACAGATTTTAGAAAGGATCAAATTTACAATATTGCTCAGTTTCCTCAGCGATACCTCAAAACGGGCCTTTATGATATGATCCGTCATATATGGAGATCTGTTTGTTTTTTCTTTCGGTTACTCAGACAGATGAGGGGCGGAGTCTCCAGCTTACACCTGCTTGAAATCATAATTAGTTAGCTTTATAAGCACTGGATGGAGAAAAGCTTGTCGCAGGAATTTTATTGGTCCTTTTGACGGTTAGCTCATGTCCTCTTGTATAAAGTATCTTAGTCTTTTTGATCCTGTGCCTAGCTCCTCTATTTGTGTCTTTTTCTTCTTGCTCACGTCTGCTCCCTTCGTTCACTAAATGTTTGATTGATGTAATGATGTTCCCTCTGCTGTTTTTTTTTTTTTTGGGGGGGGGGGGGGGTCCATGTTTTTGCATACACTTGCCTAACACTTCAAGGGTATCATCATTTTTGTCCAGGCTTGTTTCATGAGTTTGTTTTCAAAATAATTATTTTGAGCTACCGTTCAAATGCAATGTCTGATTTACATTGTTTTTCTCAGGGTACTCCAGTTTACTCCCACATTCTCCCCAAAACATGCATGATAGGTTACTTGAACACTCTAAATTGTCCATAGGTGTTAGTTAATCTGAGTGTAAATTTTTGTTCGTCTACATGTGACCTGCAAAAACGTCAGCTGGGATCTGCTCCAGCACACCCATGACTCCAGTGAAGATAAGTGATCCAGAGAAAGGATCGATTGCTGAATACATTTTCAGAACTTTTATTTTTTATTATTTTTGTCAGACTCAACTTAAATATGTGACCACACAGGATTTTTCTTTAGGGTACTAACAATTTTGTCCATGTGTGCATATTATGTCAGGGAGAATCTTTCAAAGGAGGCTGGCGAGTTAGACCCTCACCTGCATCATGATCTCTGGCAAGCATTTAGTGTCCATTTTGTTGGTGTCCTAGGGTAACTCTTGTGCATAAAATGTATGAATGTGATAGAATGATTGTTCTTCCATTCTTTTTCCTGACATTTTTTTTCAGGTCTTTGCCATATTTTGTTAACATACCGTCCGCATAATCTTTTATTGCAGCCTCTCTTTTGATGTTTTTTTTTTTTTTTTTTTTTTTACTAACCGGGTACTTACTATATATTTTCCTGGCTATCTTTCCTGTTTTGGTAGGTTATGAGACATTGACTATTTCTGTCTTACCTCTAACCAGTTTTGATGGAGAGTTCTCAGCATGACCAGGTAAACACCCTAAACATTACTCTTAGCATGAGTCTACAAAAAGTTTGGTTCTCCTTGCTCTGTCTTTACCATTAAGCAACACAGTTTTGGTCACTATGATGATCGGGGCAGAGCTAGGACATGAAATGCAATTACATGAGAAGAGAAAACTGAGGACGCGTCAAGACAGTAAATCGTCCATCAGTCTTTGCCTTCATGGAGTCAGCACTTATCAAGCTGCCAAATTATATTTGCCAATTAAAGTGGACAATCTTAATTCAGTCAAGGCACATACAGTACTTTGTATTACACATTCTAAAAATGTCATGGCACACCCTCAAACAATGTCTCAAAAGCTAAATGCAGTGAACCCCCGCAATTTGCAGGGGATCAAGACGGAGCCCTGCTGTTCATAGTAAAAAGTAGGAATTGATGCTAGCCAAAAAGGTTTGTAATGAACCATAGATGCCACAAGATATCGGCAATATTTTTTTCTATTAAACAAGACTAAGGCCTGATGAAATGAAGCTCCTACACTGCAATGTCAATGATATGTTTGTTTTTTTCCTTTATCTGTAATATAGATTTTTTTATGTCTTTCTTTTTGTAGAATAGAGAGGCAAAATTGGATCTTCCCACTATTTTGTGCACGCAGCCTTATCCAGAAAGCTGCGTGCATGTTCAGGAGCAGTGTGAAATCGAAAGCGGTATTGAAAATGTCGACGTCTCTGACTTCTTGGACACTGTTTGGCAAAACCGGTCAGTTACAGTTTACCATCATGAAGGAACAGAAAAATTGAATGTGTGAATTTTAAACATGCCTTTGGTGTCTTTTTTTTTTCTCCTACTCATACGTGAGTGGGAATCTGTCACAGTGAGTTTGAGAACAAATTTAGTTTTCTCACTTGTCTATACTGTATCTGATCTCTAGGGAGGAAAAATTTGAAGACTATGGTGAAGGGAAGGACGCAGATTACTCTCCAAGCAGCCCAGTCCATGAAAATGAATCCCAAGCTAAATGCTTCTCAAATTTGGGATCCTCTCGTCCATCGAGGTTGGTGGTTAAAAATAAAAACATTCACTTGCATGTACTTTTTTTAGGGGGAAAAAAAACAGATGATATAACAATTTGGTAGCGTAGGGGGTTCAAGTAACTGGTGTCAGTTATTTAAAAATAACCCTTTCATCTATACCTGCAAGAAATATAATGCAGATATTTGTCAGTTGTACTTACTTATACAGTCATGCCTTGACATACGAGCGCTCCAACTTAGAAGTTTTTCAGGTTACCAGTCCACGGATATATTTAATTTGGCAGCGCCTTATTTTGTACTTGATGAGGTTGTTTACCGGCAAAGAGCACCCACTGATCGGTGCTTCCTTTTCCCTACTTTGTGGTCACCACGTGAGATGTGAATGCTCCACATTTAAAAGGAATCGGCGGAAGCTCTTCGTTTGGCGGCAAATGAAGTCAGCTGTGTTCACGATCATGTCACGAACCATACTTTTTTTAAAACCCTTTCATGCCCAAATAATGATAACCTGTAACATGATAAGCTGTCCACTGTAGTAACCTCTGTCCTCGGAAGGGTTAAATGTGCCATCTAGCGCACCTCCGCGACATTACCAACACCCATTCTAATCCACCCTGGCGCAGATTTTTTCGGCTTGGCGTGCCGGACTTGCCGCTGGTCCCAAAATTAGAGCGCTGTGTGTGCATTTTCACCTAAATGTACTCCATCACATTGATTGACCAATGATGAGTTCACAGTGTGGATAATTTTGTATCTTTGTCACCGCAGTGGAGGACACGCAACTCAGAAAATGCGGCAACTGTATTCCAGTGAACTGCTGGATATCAACTGTTCACAGTGCTGCAAGAAAGTGAATCTGCTCAACGACTTGAATGCTCGCCTTCAAAACATCAAGGCAAGCAGGTACAGCAAAGCACACATACTAAAACATACAAGCACAGATCCAATGCATATTATTTCAATCTCATGTGATTGTTAAAATGCAGCAACAAATTATATTTTTAAATGAATCAATACACACTCTTTTATGATCCTTAAAAGGGTTAATAAAGTGACCCTCACCTTTTTCCAGTTTATTTTTTCACAAATTCACCTACTTTCAATTAGAACCTATTTGCTGAAAAAAAATCTCACCTATTTGTAGTGCCGGTGTTCTTTTTGTCTTGCCCTAAGATGTCAAAAGATACTGCAAAGCTGTGCATAGAAGGAAAGTAGTAATTTGTGACACGAATGTAAGCCTTTTCAGAGATCTTTGTATGTTGGGAAAGAGCTAAGTTTAGCCAAGGTTGTTAGCGGAAGAAGATAAGATGTGCTCACTGTTAAATGCTTCAATAAAATACTGATAGTGTGCTGATTAAGTGCTTTGGGTCTCCAAGCAAGCCTTATAAATGTGTGAGCGCCTCATATATATTGTATTACAGAGGAACTTCAATTTAACGGACCAGCAACTAACAGACCCCGGATTAAATGGACAGAAAATAGTATCCAATCCATTCAAAACGCCCCTTTAAAAGTAGTTTATTAATTCTGTTAATTTCCAGAATTTGCCACAATTCGCCACAGGGCCAGTAAATGGCACGGTGGCTGAGGCTGGTCAAATGTTTCTGGATTGCGCTGCTCTTGTCATAGGTAATCGGATTTACAGTAGACTAGAGCAGGCTAAAACACGCGTCGATGGGGCGGCCATGTTGGCAGTGTCGATTTTCCCATGAAATGTAATTGAAAGCGTAAACATCAACTATGCTTCAGCAAAAGCACGCAGCTCAAAAAAAAAATCTTTGATGGAATTTCTGGTGGGTTTTGCAAGCTTGTAAATAGAGGAGCGAGGACCAGGGAATGTGCAATTCGAGGAATGAGATTAGGAGAATGACAGGCCCTGGAAATGATGTCATTTGCAGTCCAAATATGGGTGAAGGGGTGGTACCAGACGTCTGGCGTCATTGACTTGGCACACTTACAAAATGTCGGGGCCAGGTCTGTGATGTCATCAGCGGTCAAAAATTGGAGATAAAAAACTGTCTCCCACTGTTATTTTATATGTATGAAATTCTAAAAGGGTGCCCAAATTTGTTTGAACTAAACCGTTTTTCCTTCTTGTCCTGTATTTCAGCCCCAGCAGAAGTATATCCAGCACAGCATTTGGACAGTGAGTCATTTGCCCTTTTATCAATGTGCTACCATAATTTAACTTTATTTTGGCACCAAAAATAAAATTCATGTTTTGCTATGGCAAAATAGGCCTTTTACTGTACACCAGTGCTTCTCAAATATTTTTTCTTCACCCCTGCTGGGAAGAAGAAAATATTTCATGACCCCCCCCAAACTCTCCGGCATGACTATAGGATCATTTGTCTATAAAATTGTTATTAGCATACCCCTGCATAACATTGTAACCTTAATAACATTCAAGAAAAGAAAAAAAGAGAGGGAAAAAAGATGAACTTATAAAGATCAACTTTGTTTACATTGTTTTTTTAGTGTGTAACAGAAAAGATTTGAAGTGCATCAAAGCTTTCAACTGCAAACATTTTTGATTGACTAATTATTGAACCATTCAATTCTGAAAAGTAAAAAGCATTTTAAATTGATCAGGAACATTAACTCACTTTAACCTACCATAGCAAAAGGAATATAACAATTTGTGCCGGGTATAACCGATTTACACCGGAATGGATTTTCACTCCCATGCCACAGAAAAAAAAAAATCCATCCTGGTTGGCATTCACTGAGGAGGAATCTGAAAGTAGGAGATGTTGAAATGATGAAAGGAGAGGATACACACAAGGATGAGTGGAGATAGGGACGAGTATCAGAGACCACTGTCGATAAAGATGGACTAGATAGGAGCGTTAAGGTCTGCCTTGGAGACAAAGAGTTTGGAAAGAATGATTATTTGCCTTTGCTGTAAGTTATTTACAAAAGAAAATTTCATTTTCATTCAGAAATCTGACCATCCATTTTCAAATCCGCTTATCCTCACAAGGGTCGCGGGCGTGCGGGGGCCCTTCCCAGCTGTCTTCAGGCAGTGGGCGGGGGACACCCTGAACTGTTGTGATGTTTTCAGAGGTTGATGTCCACATACGTTATTTTGTGACTATTGGTTGTGTTTTTCTGGTATCAAGTGGCATATTCAAGCATGTTAGACTGTGCGGCGTGTCCTGCGTCCTCAGCTTTCATTATTGACAAATACCTACATACTTTGTATTTTACAGACATGCCATTCCACATTCCACTATGCCACATAAGGAACTTGCGGCTTCACTTTTGAAATATTTGCGCGCCAACATTGACGTATTTGTCACCTATAAGCACTGAACGTTATTTTCACAAAGGCTGCGATGGGATGTTGCCATCAATGAAACCAAACCACATTATTGTTTGTTTATCATTTTACTGTCTTAGTGATAAACAATTCAACATTGTTTCATAACACAAAAATAGCAATTATAAAAAAAAAAAAAACCTAAGTGTTAATTGGAAAACAAAGGATATTTTTTTTTAGACCCGGGCCTCAAGTTGCAAGGCATCAGCATTTTGATGGTCGGGCATGGAGTGTACCTTACCATGCTGAAAGAAGAAAGTTCCTCCACAACTTCAACTTTCTAGCATAAGCATGAAGTTTTTTTTTTTAAACCAAAAATTTAAGTATTTGAGTATTCCTTGAATTAGTCCAGATGAAAAAAAAAGATAAGATAAGATAAGAAAATCTTTATTTGTCTCACAATGGATACATTCCCGATTTACAGCAGCAAAATTATGAAAGGGAGAAAGTAGAAGACAAAAAGTATATCAAGAAATATAAATATAAATATGAGCATACAGTATTAAAAATGGGTGAGAGGGGGAGAGTCCAGGTTTTCAGGTATGTCTATTCAGTAGTGTGACAGCAGTCGGCAGGAATGAGCACTGGTACCTCTCCTTCTTGCAGCGCGGGTGTATCAGTCTCGAGCTGAAGGAGCTGCCCAGTGCTGTCAGGGTGGCCTGGAGGGGGTGGGACGGTCTGTTCATCATCGCTTTTAGCTTGGCTAACATCCTCCTATTGCCCACCTCCTCCAGAGTGTCCAGGGAGCAGCCCAGGACAGAGCTGGCCCTCCTGACCAGTCGGTCCAGTCTCTCTCTGTCCCGGGCTGAGATGCTGCCTGACCAGCAGATTATGCCGTAATGAATGGCTGAAGCCACCACAGAGTCCTCGAAGGTCTTAAAGAGTGACCCCCGAACTCCAAAAGACCTCAGTTTTCTGAGCAGGAAGAGCTGGCTCTGCAGAGCAAGCCTCTTTTCTAATTTTTTTCCTTTGAGTTGTTTGCATTATAGTTGATGTTAGAAAAGGTTTTGATTATTATTATTTTTTTTTAATCCACTGTAAAAACTTGACCCCATCTGAATGGAATGGAGGATATATTGCGGATACTTTAACAAGGACACTGACAGTCAAAATGATCATTGTCTTTCTCGTCCCTCTAGCCAGCTGTTCCAGGTCAATCACAATGTGCTTGATTCCAGTCAGGGTAGCAGCACGGAGGATTTGTTCACAGAAAGTATTGACTGTGATCTCAACATTACAGAGAAGGTACTGACTCACACAAAACGCATTCTTCAAAAGTGTGTTTTGACTCATCAAGTTGGAGTGAAAATGTAGCTTGACGAGAAGTTTGCTGAAGTCGATATCATTGTGGCTATTTACTGGAACACTGATATGTCCTTCAGGTGAGTTATCTTGAGAAGAAGGTGACTGAGCTGGAGAGCGACAGTCTGGCCAATGGGCAGCTGAAGTCGAAACTCAAACAGGAAAATACACAACTTGTCCATCGGTAGGTTATCCAACACATTATCTGAATTTATTGTAATTGCTTTGACATTTCTATATTCTATCATTTCTATATTCTACATAATTAGATACAGACCTCATTTTGTTCGGATTAAAAAAAAAAAGACAGAAAATAATTGAAATGTTTCATCTTTTAAACACATTTAAACAAACTGTTGCCCTAAAAATGTGGTATTTATGAACAGTGAATGTTTTTCTCAACATCATTCAACGTGATGTGTATGGATTTATCCCAGTGTGCATGAACTAGAAGAGCAGATGAAGGATGTCGAGACAAAGGCAGATCAGAGTCTGGAGGAAGAGACGAAGAGGCACGGCGAAGTTTATTGCAAGATGGAGAGGGAAAGAAACACAGAGATAAACTTTCTGTGTAACAGGTAAAAATGCAAATATTTGAAACTGCTGCAAACTCCGTTCTTGTGATATCTTTTTCACTTTTTTTTTTGTCTGCAAGTTTATCTGTCTTTCAGTTTTGAAGCACTTGGTAAATAGTTAAGGGAATAGGGAGCTTCTATTCAAATACAGTATACTGGAAAGAGTAAAAAGCTGGTGAGAGTGGGAAGGTGCATCTGTGTGTGCCCTGCGATTGGCTGGCAACCAGTTCAGGGTGTCCCCCGCCTACTGCCCAAAGACGGCTGGGATAGGCTTCAACACCCCCGGCGACCCTTGTGAGGATAAAGCAGATCGTAAAATGGATGGATGGATGGATGGACATATATTCCATCATTCTATATTGAGCATGTCATGGAGGCGTTATTGTTTTCTCTTAAAAGCAGAGACAGCAAAGAAAAACTGAAGAATAAGTAGTTTAAGCCTGGTTTTGTGGACACCATAGTAGAAATGAAGCAAACACATTGATATACATTAAAGTGAATAGTGACGAGTGGGAAGTGAAAACAAATATGACAGACTCTCACACAGATACAGCAGAAGACACCCAGTGTGGTGATGGTTGTGAGGCTTTTTTATTTGTATCCATTTACTTATTTCAGTTTGACTCATAAATAATCACAGAATTTCATGGATTGGTCTGTGTTTGTCCACACATATAGGATACAGCAGCTGGAAGAAGAGAATGGAGAAATGAAGACAAATGTGTCCAGACATAAGTCGCAGGCAGAGAAACTGGACCAGGTGAGTAATATTTATTATATCTGACGTGTTAAGATTAGATAAGACAACCTTTATTTGTCCCACACTGGGGAAATTTGCAGTCTACAGCAGCAAAATTGGGGGGGAAAGAAAAAAAGTGTTTCATTGCACAAAATAAATGTTTCAGAAAAGAATTGTACACAGTTCAATATAAGTGCAATATAAAATATAGCATTAGCAATATATTTGTAGAATAAATATAATAAATTAGCAATAGCATAGAAAACACAGCATAAGGTGGCTGTGCTATTTACAATGGTTACAGGTTTTTTTTTTTGAAACACAAGCCAGTTTTACTTTAATTTTGTGTGTGCAAGTGTACGTGTGTGCCTTCGTGCATTCAAAACCAACACTGGGGATTCTGAAGTCCTTGGTTGAATCACATTTGCATGGCAACACATGGACGCCGAAATCTGATTGGACAAAAATAAATACGTTTTTAAAAAGCCACAAACATCTGGAAGCTTAACTGCCAAGACACGTGTTCTTCCCACACATGACCGTTCCACATTCTTTACACCAAGTCTTTTTTTTCATCGTAGAACGTGAAATGGCCCACAAATCCTCTCGTTGCTTTCTCCCACCTATGGATTTTAGCTCGCACTTCCGCCATCAAATCGTTCTCATCTGCTTTCTTCCCGGGAGCGTGATTGAAGTGGGTGACTGGTTCCGTTCAGCGCTCCAGTCGGCCTCTGATTGGTTCTCTTCTCGCTTCTCGTCTTATCCATTTTCACAATGGTTCTTTTCTCCTCCTCCTCCTGATTCCTTCTTCTGATTGGATTTCGTTACTGTGGTTTTTCATTCGTTATTTGTTCACGAAATTGTGAATCAATTTCGTTCTCATTATCGTATCAATGAAGGACTAATATTTTTGTTTTCATTTAGTTTTCGTGTTTGAAAAAAAATATGCGTGACAAATGAATGCCGAAAACTTTTAGTTAACGAAATTAACACTGGCTTGGTCAGAACATCTTACGTATCAGTACCATAATGTACTGTTACCAAAACTCCACATTCAATACTGAAATTGTTTTGATTGATTGATTGATTGATGCAATATTGTTACATCCTCAAATTATCATTGTTGATTTGGATAGTTCTGTCATTTGGCTGAATTCTTTAGGAGAAGCAGAGGATGATGGACAAGCTGGAGGACACAAGCCTGAGGCTAAAAGACGAGATGGACCTCTATCGGAAAATAATTGACAAACTTTGGCATAATCGGCGTGAGTTTCATAAGGAAAAGGAGGCCATGCAAGAGGCAAGCATCCACCTCATAGAAAAGTTGCCAGTGGACATTTCCGGTATTTAACCTCATCTTAACTCCACCTGCAGCTGATCGATGATCTTCGCAGAGAACTGGACTACTTGCAGCTGTTTAGGATGGAAATGGAGCATCCGGGAAAACACAAGGGCCTCTCTGAGCACAATACGAAGCCTCGGGAGATGGAAATGGAACAGGAAGTCAAGAAATTGAAACAGGTTCCTATGCAAACAATCATTACATTTTCATTTCTACATATTCTGGGTTAGTCTGAAGAGTTGGAAGTGGGCGGTGGTGGGAAGATGTTAACAGTGCATCGAACAAGTATTTACAATGCCTCACATTTTCAAAAAGAGTTGTTTTTTTTTCTCTCAATGTTAGCAAATGAAATCCCAACTCATCGCATACACCAGCTCTCCTTTCATTTCTTAATGTCTCCTCTGTATTAGTTCCTGGCTCCCTCCATGGTCACCATGAAACAAATACACAGCACAGCAAAGCTAGTACAGCCTCAAGCATTTTTTAAAATGCCACAAGCTTGGTACACCTACCTTGGGACCGTGTCACGCACTCTTCTTTGCAGCACCACTTGAAGCTTCAATCAGATTGTATGCAGAGCTGTGCAGCCATTTTCGGATTTCTCCTTATTAAATCGGATTCATGTTTGGGACAATTAAAAATACAAATTGTCTTGGAGTTACTCCTTTCATATATTGGATGTGTCATAATACGGTCTTTAAAAAACACTGGAAAAGTTATTGAAACTGATCATGTATTTCCCAGGTCCTTGAAAAATACATTCTATAAAGTTTTGGAGAAGTAATGGTAAGTAAAATTCAAGTGGTAGGATGCTTAGGGTTTTTTTGAAGGTGTCAAAATAACCTCCACAAAATATGTGGATTTCAATAATTCCATTTCTTGCCTTGGCATAAAATGAAAAAAAAAACCACCAACATGGTTTCCACAGTCAACAGTTGTAACTTTGTGTCAGAGCGGATCTCTGAGAGCGAACGACGGTAGTTGCTCCGATGATCACACACTCGGCTCCCTCTCCACCGGTTCGAACTTTTATTGCAAAATACAAGAAAGACACTGCCCCCGAGATTTGCATACTGCGCCCCCCGGTCCGGCCCCTCGGTAGTGATCTGATCTACCCGAATACACAAGTCACAGACTTTGCTGATGACAAATGTCCACCTGGGCGCGACAGCTGTTCCCAAACTGTCTTTTGGTATTCAACTCTTTGTTCCCAATTTGTTTATTCCCACTCTGTGATTGAATCTAGCCTTCTTCCATCTGTTCGCCCCCCTTGCTTTGACGTTTTTGGACTCAACAGCTGCGGGGCAACTACAGTCACAATTGAGACAGTGCGGTGAGAGGTGTGTGCGGCTCCCAATGCATCAATACTATCGACATCTGCAAACAGAGAGCTAGAATACTAGAAATGACCAAATAAGAGGAATTGTCCTGGCTTGTCTCTTAACGCTATACCCATGGTGTCATAGTCCTTTTCTGTTTCGTCTCCAATCGGTGGCATAGGAAGGCTTTTCCTCCCGCTCCGCACCTGTTACTCAAAATGTCATCACTCTCGCCTGGTTAAAAGGGACTGCCAAGCCATCACCAGTTGTCGGATAACTTGCCTTGCTCACGACTCTCATCCAAGTGCTTGTTTTCTAGACTTTCCACATTCTCCCTCCTCGTCATAGTCTTACGAAGAATTTCCTTGTTTTCTTCTAGTTTCCCTTTGATCTGGTTTTGTAACATTATCCTCGGTGTGTTTTGATTTTCTTGTACGGTAATTGGCTTTTCCTTGTCCTTTCGCGACAAGTGATTTTGCCTTTTGCAAGCGCTTTTGGTTAGTATCGTTGTCATGGTTCTTTGTTACCAGCGTTTTATATTGAAATCATTTTGTTAATAATAATCAACATTTTTTTGGTACTTGATCCTAGTCTGCATTTGTGGTTTCCGCTCCTGTTCCGGAACCATAATACATGGGCATTCGACTGTAAATTCTGTTTATTTTATTTTATTATTTTTTTGTTGTTGTTTTCAACGCTTCTAACTATTCCATCCTCATGTTTTATTTACATATATCCACATTTATTTCGTATTTCTTAAGAAACTGGGGATCCTATACTGTAGCTCAAAAACTTGACGTGATAAAGACTGAGATCAGTTTCGGATTCCTCACTCAAAAATTTGTGAAAAACAGCTGTCAGATCTAACGGAGCAAAAATTGTGTTCCTCGGTGTTATCCATGGTCTTCCACTTTCAATAAATGAGAGCAATTACATTGCATTTATTTAGAAGTGCAATGTAATTGCATATGAGTACAGCAGAATGTAAAGTTAATTTACTTTTGGAGCAAAGTCTTACAAATCTTTAACAACAATAATGTTTCAACCAGAATACCCTCTGAAAGGAACTATCATTTTGTGTTTCCACAGGAGAACCATAAATTGCGAGATCAGAACGATGACTTGAATGCTCAGATTCTAAGTCTGAGTTTGTATGAGGAGAAGAGCCTGTTTTCGTGCCATTCAAAGGTCCAGTGTCTGGCTGCTGAGATTGACAATGCTTCACGGGATGAGGTCTGTTTGCGTTCTTCCTTCATGGGATTTCCATTGATATTGTTTTTTATGAAAACACTTTTTTCTTTTTCAGTTGGTCGACGCTTTGAAAGCACAGGAGGAGAACAACCTGCGTTTGAGGAAATACATGGACAAAATAATTTTGGCCATTCTTGACCATAACCCCTCAATCCTGGAGATCAAATGTTAACAGAACTCTAGAACGCCTCTATATCCGACTATATCGATTAAACAGGAGCAGGATGTGTTCACGAAACACGAGGGTAAATTATTTTACTGTAATGTGATTTGTGCAAAAAAAAAAAAAAAAAAAAAGATTTCATTCAGTCTCTCAAACCTCAATACTGTATGTCATCAATTATGTAGTAGTACTATTACAAATCAAAGGCTTATAGATTTCCACAAACACTACGAATACTCAAAAATGTTTCTTGCTGTTGAAAGGCAAACTCTTGATTATTTATCACTGTCTTAGTGAAACATTGTATTTTAGGCAAAAATTGGTGTAAACACAATGAAATGTTATTACTTTTTCAATTGTGATCCGAAAGACGCAAAAATGAAAGTATTTTAAATGTAATTCTTTTGTACAAATAAAGTTGTTTGTATTGTATTGTATTGTCCACAAATGGAACAAGGAACAGCAGGAGTGAACCATCCCAGGAGTGGCTGGCCTACAGAAAGTACTACAAGAGCACAGCAGTGTCTCATCCCCGAGGTCACAAAGGCACCAGAACAACTTCGAAACAATTGGAGGCCTCCCTCACCTCCATTAAGGTTATTGATGACTCTTTGGAAAAGACTGGGCAAAATATATATAATATATATATATACATACCTGTCAACTTTTCGGAGCACCAACCTGTATAAACTACCAAAAAAATCCTTATAAAGAGCAAAAAATCCTTATAACATACCAAAGCATTTTATATGTCAAAATAACGGCAGAAAAAAAAAACACGAAATATGAATGATATATTTGTTTCCTTGTAGAACTTACTTGTACACTACCGAAGTATGCAATGAATACTCTGCTGTTTTCAACTAGGAACCACGTGATTTACTGGAAAGTTACCGGAAATGAAAGAATTCGAGTAGACTAGCACCATTCTGGGCAAAAGCAAATGGAGCTACCTGTTAGGGGAAAACAAAAAAAAAAAGAAACGGAAATTTTCAGAATCCGTATGATTTGTGCGATATGGCCATATACGTAAGATTCACCACAAAATCCGTATGAAGTATGGCTAAACCGTATGAGTTGACAGGTATGTCTATAATTGATATATATAATATTGACTGTAACAATGATCACTGTACTGTAATATTGTCTGTAATATTGATAAATGTATGGTAATATGACACTTCATTAAATGAGTTAGTAGGTGCTGGATCTTGTTTTCTTCATTAGCGTTTGTTGTTCATTCAATTTACGTGGCTCGAACATTTGCACATTTGTAATGCAGAGAAATCAAACCAACTGTACTGTAAAACTGAGATCTTTGATTTTTAAATAAAGAAATGTACTCAGGTCAGATTGACAAATCTATATTTCTATCTGTCTCTCTCTATGTCCCTCCATCTGTCCAACGGTATAATCTACATCCTTGTCTGTCTGCCTGTCTGCCTTGTCCGTCCATCCATCGATCCATCCATCCATCAACCATGAGACCAATTGTATATTATCAACCAGCAGCGGCTGCTTAGCACGTTTGCCTAACAGTGCAAAGGTGCAGGGTTCGATTCCGGTTCTAGCCTTCCTGTGTGGAGGTTGCTTGTTCTCCCAGTGCCTACGTGGATTTTCTCTTTGTGCTCAATTTTCCACCCACGTTCCCCACAATAAAAAAACATGTATGGGATGTTAATAGAACACTCTAAATCAGGGGTGCCCAACCAGTCGACTCGACAGCGGACTGATCCCGAGTCGACCGCGAGGTGTTTTTTTTTTTTTTTAATGTCGTGACCGGAAGTCAGTGTTGCCAACTTAGTGACTTTGACACAACATTTACTGAGTATCCAGACCCTCTCGAGCGACTCATTTTTCAAAAAAAGTGACTTGTGACAATCTAGCGACTTTTTCTGGTGTTATTGGAGACTATTGGAGTCTGTGTGGGGAAAGCACGTTGTTCTCAATGAGCAGCGCCGGGTACTGTTGTGACGCCTCCCCCTAACGAAGCCGCTGCTGGTTGATCCCGCCTGGTTTACAATCTGGGCTGGATGTAAATGTAAAACTTTTCTTTTTCTAAAATGAACTAAAAATACATCAACAAATAACAATTACAAAAGAAAAAGATAAGAAAAACAGCCCCCCAAGTAAATCGCATATTAGCCATCGCCCTGATGACATCATTCAGCGACAGCCAATAGCTAATTTTCTTACCGATGAGTCGGAAACGCTGCTGGAAGTTGTTCAACAGTTCAGTTGCTACTAGCGAGAGGAAACGAGCCAAGAACTACCATTTCCACCTTGAGTGGGAGCGAGGTTATTTTTTTGTTTATTCTCACTCAAAGCCTGTTTGTTTGATTTGCAATGCAACGGTGGCATTGCCGAAGAAAGCCAATCTGATAAGATAAGATAAGAAAACCTTTATTAGTCTCGCAATGGATCGCAATCAATCTGGGGCGACATTTCAAAACGGTACACAGGAGCTATGAGACGTATTTCCCTGCGAAAACACAAGGTGGGGCTCTTCCCCCATCTTGTTCAAATGGAACGTGGTGGGTGTGCGAGATCAGTGTTTTTGAAACTTTATTGAGCCAATGCACATTTCTTTCATTGAAAAAATCTCGCGGCACACCACTATCTGAAAATGTGAAAAAAAAAACGCTTATTTTAACAATTAACGTGTTATATTGTTACTATAACCGTTTTTAACATTGAAGAATGGCGCTATAACAGCTTGAATTGGAATCAAATGAACACAAAGAAAAAGTATTTTATAATATTTCATATTTATTGTTTCACCATCGTCCTGCATTCATGCGTCACAAATTCGCTTGTCTCGAGTGACGAGTCTAAACACAAGGCAATTGGCGAGCTGTTGCTGCTCCCTAGCAGTATGGGAGGGTACAACACAATTACTTTCTGGGCGATAGACCGCACAGGCATGCATACAAATTGGACATTTTCCCACGGCACACCTGACAAGTGTACCGCGGCACAGGGTTTGAAAAACACTGTCCTAGATGCATAAGCTGGGTTGTCTAAAACCAACTCAACGGCCCATTTTGTCAACATTGTTCTGTAAATGAAGCAAGGTGGGGCATGTCCCACACCTTGTTCAAATGGAATTTGGTGGTTTTCTCCACATGAGCATGAGAACGGTCAGCCAGTTGGCTGCCCTTTGGGCATTTGATGTAGGAAAGCCAAATGGCTTGCCCTTTGGGACTTCTAGTGTTTTAATGTGTGTGTGTGTGGGGGGGGGGGCTGTCAGACGTTGAGGTTGGCTCCTTGAAAAGTAGCCCTTGGGACAAAAAAGGTTGGGCACCCCTGCTCTAAATTGTCCGAAGGTGTGACTGTGTATTCCTCCCTAATGTTTACATTGCAATGCAGTTGCTGAGGCTCTTTAATGCTGTGGATCTTTAGTCTGTGAAAGAGGCTTAAAGTCTCACAGTATATGAACTCGGATTACTCAGTGACATGTCATCAGATACCCTTTTCCTGCTGAAACTAGTGGAGAGTCGTGGTCCGTGGCGACACGCAACCGATTGGCATATTATCCCTTTCCTATTGATCAACAGAAGGCGATTCTGCCCCCCCCCCCCATTTCCACCACTTTGCGTCTGGTTACGTCACCACGCTGTGATTGCGGAGATGATGCGACAGATTTCTTGGTGGGAAACAAAGCAACATAGAAGCGACTGTTCTTTCTTTTACTTGGCCATGAAAAGAAGCTGGCGAATCTAGTCGTCTCTCCAATGCTGCGACATGTTGACCAATATTGTGCGGAAATGGCACAGTACCCAGCAATTGCTCAGCTTTTGTTTCATTTGCGGGCTGGCAAGCAAAACCGTTGCCCCCGTGATCGCAGAAATGCGTGGAGTTGTTTGGCATGTCAATGTTTTCGCTGTGGCTATTTGACATTTGTCACCGTCACTGTAGCCCGCACTGTCAGCAATGAAGTCATCCCCTGTGCCGCTTTGCCCTTATCGCTTCTCGGCCTTTTGGCTAAGATCAAGTGTAGTATCTGTTCTTATCAGTTTAATATCTGATACGTCCCCTATCCGGGGACTATATATTAAATTGATTTTTGGAGTCGGGAGATGGAAGAGGGGCTTGCTCCTTCCACTCCACGCATTGACCTGGTATTGCAGTACATCCAGGGACGGTGCATTTTCTCTCTTGGTTGAAGTTAAACGTTTCAGTGGAGTCTGCGAAAGGCCCTTGATCCATGCTCACTGCAAACATCTGGAGGAAGTTCACTGGTCCTTCTTGCGGTCTGAAAAGCTTGATGTGTTTTGAAGGGGCAGAAACTCTCGGGCAAGAAAAATGCCTGGCATCCTCGCTGTACAGGGAAATGTGGACATGACTTAAAAATCCCTCTTCGAAAAGTTTTCGGTTCCTTTGTGGTGGGATTTTGGAGTCCCCGCAAAATGGAAAAGAGCGCCGAGCATTTGGCGGCAGGCCTTGGAAAATTGATGGCGGATTCAGCGAATTGATGCCATTGAGATTCACAGGCCAAAGGCTGTCTGAATTTGTTGACGGCCTATTCCCAAAACAACTGTAATCTGGACTTTCGCCTGGATGAAAAATTGGCTCGGACGCTCGCGTTCCTACAGGCGCCTTACTCTTGCTTCCCGAGACTGGTACGCCGAGGCCCTCCCAGCGGAGACGATCAGCTCAGCCAGGCAGCTGCGGAAGCTGCCTCATCCAGTGAGTTTGTCTTGATGTGTCTTCACCAAGGTCATTTTAGTAAACGAAGACATTCGAACTACCTAAAACTGAAGAACCCCCCCCCACCCCAATTTCTTGTTAACAAAATAGAATAACAAAAACACTTCCCCAAAACGCCAACTCAATGAAGCAACGTAGAACGTGTATAAAACTAACTAAAACTAACAATAATAACAGGGAACAGCAACGTCCTTCTTTTTCATTTTGGTCGAATGTAACATGCGAGCCTTTGGGGTTGATTTGAAACACATTTATTTCCTTCTGATCGATAAAAGCCGAACCGCAATGACAATTCCAACACGATCATAACCCTGGACTGCTCGCACGTGTCTCAGCAGATGAGCCCGTGACCAAAGACGGCGCGTGTGCTAAAGACTCTGGCCTGGTGACGGGTCCAACTCATACTTACCTGGCAGGGGAGATGCCATGATCAAGAAGGTG